AGTCCTCCAGCGCAGTCCCCTCTCCCCTCCAGGATCCTGGGTGCACAGAGTCCTCTGGCAAGCGGGTCCCACTCCTGGGGATGGGGGGGAGGGCTCAGGAGGCCTGCGGGGCTTGAGCCGCGCTTTATTTCACGGCCACCGCCGAGGCCCTGTGAATGGACTCCATCACGGCTGCGAACCGGCTGCAGAGGTCGTAGGGCGAGTTGGGGCGGATCCTGGGGGGCTCCTTGAGGACCACTCCTTCCGGGGAACAATCCAGCAGGCGGGGCAGGAACTCGCCCAACTTCAGCTGCAGATTCTCACCCACGTCCTTTCCCAGGTAGGCGCACCAGCGGTTCCTCATGACTTCAATGGCGTCCAGGTCGTCCCTGGAGACGTGGTTGTTCATCATCAGGTGCATGCAGGGGATGACCAGCTCATTCAAGACCCCGACCCCTTCGTCCACTTCCTTCCCGTCGTGGCTTTCGAAGAGGGCGGCCGCAGCGTCGTTCAGCCTCAGGAGGCATTTCCTTCTGTAAAGAGCAATCAGAGAGGAGTCCGCGCCCCGGCTGGCTCCTTTGGCCTGCAGGACGGTGTTGGTCTCGTAGGCGTACACCAGATAGGTCAGAGCCTCGCAGTATTGGTTCTTCTGATAGAGCTCCAACCCCGTCAAGAGGTAGATGGACACCTTGCGGAACAAGCTGTAGTCTTCGTGCCATTTCTTGTACTCTTCCATGTCTACCTCGTCTGGGCCAATTCCTTTCAGCTTTTCTCGGGCCACCTTCATAATGCTAATTGACCTCTCGTCATAGCTGAGGTTCCTGTCTGCAAACTGCTCCAGGAGGGTCCTCTCCACCACCTGCTTGGGGGCGTCGTTCTGCAGCAAGTAAACCAAGACGTGTTGACGGCGGGGGTCATTCTGGGGTGTTGGGGTCTCTCTGGACAAGGAGTACAGCCTGGAATATTCTTCACGGAATGCCTTGACTAGACCTGCTTCAGACCCATCGCGATCAAAGGTCTGGTGAGCTTTAGCAATGGCCAGGATCACCCCTTGCATGGCGGGGCTTAGCATCACCTCCTCGTTATAGCCGTCTGCATCCAACCTAACTAGGATCTTACCCACACTGGGAATCTCCACTTCTGAAACTTGAGAGCTGGGTGGGCTGCATAGCCTTGTGTTTCTGCACAGCCTGGATTAATTGCTTTGTGGGGGTGCTCTGGGGATGAGATTTCTCTGCGGCCCACCAAAATTGTGGTTGGCGACCACTGGTTTATAAAATAATCTGCTTTAATGTACGACCAATTAATGACTTTTTCACCTTCAACTGCAACAATACAAAAACACACAATAGATATAAACTTAATGTACACCACTCCAAACTTGATTGCAGAAAGTATGACATCAGCAACAGAGTGGTCAATGCCTGGAATGCACTACCTGACTGTTGTAACATCCCCAAACCCAGACTCAGGAGGAACAGCTGGGTCCAGTGCCTGATGCGCGGCTGCGCAGAAGGCAGAGAAGAGACCAGTGAAAAACCATGGGCCGATCCTGGGGAAGGAAGAGCCACCACTACTAGCAAGGCCCCACCCTAGCTCTGGGGATAAAAGACAGAGGGGAGGAGATGAATTGGTGTGACAGACAACTATTCATCTTCCAGCTGGATGGACTTGTTAGCCTGTGAGAGAAAGTTTTTGCCGGGGCTGCAAGCATTCCTAATAAAGGAATCTTTTGAGTTCACGTCAGAGGGTTTGTCGTGTTTGGGGAGCTGGGTCAGAACAGATAATTTTGGCAGAGTCTATTAGAGATATAAAATCCTGTAAAGAGTTTAAATCCAGAGGTTTCAAAAGTAGTTTTCATGGTGTTTTAAGTTTCTTTATTTTGACTCAGATACTCGAACTCCACCTCTCTTTGCCATCTTAAAGTCCCAAAGCCTCAGAAATGACCTTGTTTGCACAAAAAGGAAAAGAGAGGCTGTAGCCAAAGGGAGCCTCTTTTAAAATGAAAAATAAATATGCAGAAAAATAGTGTCTAAGAAGCGGCAGCAGGCTTTATTGTCCATTTTAAATGACTGATTCTTCCATAAAGAATTTGTTCTTGGTTGCCCAGCTCCCAGCAAGTGACTCACCTGATCACTCCTTCTTCTTCAAGAAGCTTTCTGAGAGCATCCAGTCACCAGTGAAACAGAAGGGTTAATTTCCAGAACTTCCCCTTTCCAAGGAAAATTTCTTCTTGCCTTAGAAAATATTATGCAGCATAAAACTGTGGAGAATATGTAGCACTTGAAAAAGAATACTACCAATTAGCTCCTGGACTTCTGCCAGAAGTGAAGCACCTGCAACTTCTTCTTCTTTTTTTTTTTTGGTAAATTTTATTTGAGTTTTCACAAAAAAACAAAAACAAATAAAACATCTTTTTTGAAAGTAGCATAATCCCGGGTTACATTGCTTCGTACAGACCCAAATTCAATTTCATGCTCATTTTTATGTTCTATTCCATATCTTATTACTGTTTTACATTTTCTGCATAGCTTCTCCCCTCTTTTAATTTTCTCAATTTTATTTTAATTATCTCGTCTCAATTCAAATCATTATATTTATATTTTTTGTCTGTCCTGTTTCAATTATCTATTATCTTTTCTCATTAAACAAAGTTTCTCCTGTAGTTACTGATTGCAGTATGACGCCTTTATATCTTTTAAGTTTATCCATTTAACTCTTATTTAGGCTTCAATATATACCCTAAAGTTATAACATTCAATATAATACATAACTTCCATTCGGATTCTGCTTTGGTACATTCTTCAAATACACACTATATTCTTAAAAAAAGAAAAAAAATTATAAATATATATAATTAAAACAACACATTCCATTCCAATTCAATTCAATTCAATATTAACATTAATTAAAATCTTAACTGCTTTAACATTACTTTTCAATTAAATATCATACTTCTATGGGAACAATTATAAGCTTTCCATAATTAATTCCCCCCCTCTTCACTTATATTTTATAAAACATTAACTAATTAAAATCTTCCCGTCCCTTCCTAATTCAATTTTCATTTATTTTATTTCACTTATTTTATTAACAAACATTTCACTAAATTACACTATTTTATCCCTCATTTTAATCATACATTGTTTCCAATTTTCTAAAGTAATTTCTATTACTAATATAACAATACAATCATGTACCTTTACAGAATCCCTTTTTCAGTTAAATTTTCACCCATTATCTCTAAATAGGTCCTGTTTCTCTATATCTTGTTCCGGTCCTTTGTAATTTCTTTTCCTTTCCTTCTTCCCTCTCTTCTTCTCTCTCCCCTTTTTACCCCCTTGTCTCTCTACCTCTATTTCTCTCTTCTGTATTCCCCACTTCTGTTGCTTTCCAGTATTATACTTATTTTTCGAATTATTTTTCTTTTCTTTGGTTGTTTTTTTAAGTCTTAAATTCTCCATTCTCTTTCCCCCCTTTCCTTTTTCTTCCCCACATAGAATTACTTGTTCATTAAAGATGGCTTCTTCTTTGTCCCAGTCTTCTTGTTTTGCAGACGTTTCTTGTTGTTTCTCATAGTTCCAAATCTCCATTTCTAAGAATTGAAAAACAAAGCCAAAAGAACCCCTCCCTTCTTGTGTATCTTCTTTGTACTTTTAAAGTTCCATTTTCAATTCATCCAGAAGTAGTGCCATTGTATAAATTTTTAAACAACCACCCGATTAATTTTAGTCATTCAAATGCAATAACCAAGAATCCAAAGATTACCAAGTAATCCAAATACACGCAAGCTGTTTCTTTTTGCTCTTTTTTTTCACTTTCTCTTGCTAGGGTTCTACTGTTTAGTTACAAAGTTTCAGTTAAAATGTATCTTTTAGAAGTCTTCTTGAAGTTTTACTGTAGATTCTTTTTAATTCCAGGCAGTCTCCTCCCTCTTTCAGATTCTGCCCTTTTATTCTTTTTCTCTCCCTTCCTGCTTATGAAAAAAAATTTTAGTGTCCAGAAATCTTTATTATCCCTTTTACATTTTGTTTTATTTTCAGCTTAATTGACTGTTGATGTCAAAGCGGATTTTTCCAATTTCTTATTTAAGTCTCTTAGTTGTCAGTATAGAGAAGGAGAGAGAAGAAAAAAGCCAAACCTTTCCCTTTTCACTTTCCTTCGCTGCTTCTGACTCTTCTTTGGAAGCGATGTTATTTTTTTGTAAGTTTAAATTGCAGGGTACCTTAGTTGTTGCTTTTGCAATTTAACCCGGCCAGCCAAAACTTTCACTTCTTATCTTCCTCCTGCACATTCTTTTCCAGTCGAGTTCTTCTTTGAGGTGGCCATTTCTGACCACCGCTGCAACCGCCTTCGGGAAAGGGAGTAATGGCCAGCTGAGGAGGAGAGATGCGGCTCTCCTCAACCCTGCTGGCAGTCTCCCCCCTCTTCACCACCTCTACTGGGTGGCTTAGCCCTGAAACCAGCCGGCTCGGGGCGCTCCAGCGGCAAGCCCAGACCGAAACCGCGCACAATCACAGATTTCTGTCTGTCGCCGAAGGAACTCAAACCGGAAGACAATATGTACCTGCAACTTCTGATGGCAAGCTATTCTGCTGGTTAATTGTCCTCATTGTTAGGAAAATTTTCCTTAGTTCCAAGGTTGCTTCTCTCCTTGATTAGTTTCCAATCATTGTTTCTTGTCCTGCCTACAGATGGTTTGGTAAATAAATTGACCCTCCTTCCTCTCTGCGGCAACCTCTCAAATATTGCAATACTGCTATCATGTCACCCCTAGTCCTTCTTTTCTCTAGACTAGCCAAACCCAAATCCTGCAACAGTTCTTCATATGATTTAGTCTCCAGGCCTTTAAGGTGCTTTTTCAAGAGGCAATTGGACTTTCTGGTTTTTCTTTGAAGACATTTTGCTCAGTGGTGGGATTCAAATTTTTTTACTACCGATTCTGTGGGCGTGGCTTGGTGGATGTGGCTTGGGGGTAGCGATGCTTGGTGACCGTGGCAGGGGAAGAATATTGTAAAATCTCCATTTTCTCCACACTCCTGGGGGAAAGATACTGTAAAATCCCCATTCCCTCCCCACCCCACTCATCTGCTTTCCATTTTCCTGTGCAGGGCAACAAAAGAAGACCCAGCCAATCAGCTTGGACTGGGGAGGCAGATAATAGATGGGGGTGGGGCCAGTCAGAGGTTGTTTTCTGAACTACTCAAAATTTTCGGTTCTCCAGAACTAGTCAGAATCTGATGAATACCACCTCTGATTTTGCTTCTCATCCAGCTGTGACTGGATGGTGGGGACTGGGAGGATTTATACTCCTTGCAGACAGCTGATCATTTGCATTTTTTAAGCGAGTTGTTAAGGCCACCTAGAGGTTTATCTGTGTCATGAAGGTCACCTGAGTAATGCAAACGGATGTGGAGCCTTCTTGGAAATGTTGAAAGGACTGGAGATAGATGATATCATATCCAGCTGTCTGCAAAGGAGTATAAATCCTCCCATTCCATACCATCCAGTCATAGATGCTTTTTAGATGAGGAATGAAAGGTCTTTAAAGAAAAACCAGAAAGTCCAGTTGCCTCTTCAAAAAGCACCTTTAGGAAAACCATGACTTGGATGTCTGGGAATCTCCATAGTACTTTTTCCAAAGTCTCAACACCTTTTTATAATGTGCTGACCAAAACTGAATGCAGTATTCCAGATATGGCCTTACTAAGGCTCTATAAAGTGGTACTAATGCTTCACTTGATTTTGATTCTATGCCTCTGTTTATACAACCAATACTGCTCACTTATGTTTAAATGATCTTCTACTAGGACTTCCACTAGTTTCTGTTTTTGAGCCAGGTTTCGCCTTCTCTGCACTTGTGCCTTTTGTTTTCCCTACCTAGGTGTAAAACCTTGCTTTTCTCCACATTAAATTTCATGTTGTTGAATAGGGCCCATCGTTCAAGTCTGTCAAGATCTTTTTGGATCCTGAACTTGTCTTTTGTCTTTTTGCCAGCTTAGTGTCATCTGCAAATTTGATGAGTTCCCTTCTATTCCTTCATCTAAATAATTTATGTTGATGTTGAAAAGTACCGGACAATTTGAATTTGCTAACAAACCAGGCAGATGGTTAGCATATAATTTAAGGAAAAAAAGAGAAAAGACAATAATTGGAAAAATGTATGAAGGTAATAATGTAATAACAGACAATGAACTCATGAAAAAGGCATTTCATAATTTTTACTCAAATTTGTATAAAAGACAGGTTTTATTTATTTATTTATTTATCTGTTAAAAATAGATAAATACCTTCTAAAACAACAGTTGCCTGAATTATCATGAATCCAGAGACAATTTATGAATGATCCAATAACTGCTTTTGAGATATCAGAAGCTATTACAAAAATGAGACCAAGCACCGTTGATCTTAGTGCTGCGAAATTAAATCTGTGTACTTGTTCATTGTAATGTGAGGCTACCAATTCAATGGACACACATTTGATTTCACAGCAACTAAGATCACTGGCCATACAGGCACAAAGATAGCCAGGGAAATGATTGAAGCCTGGGAAATGGGCCTGTTGTCAGTTAACAGGAGTGCTGAATTACCACCGGCCTATCAAATACTTAGGAGCTGAGGGCTTGGCAGCACAAGGAATTGACAGCCAATAGCCCACACCGATCAGCCAATAGGAAGGCACCACATAAACATGACTCACAGAATAGCCCAAAGCACATAGTCTAGTAGAGAAATTCCCTAAAGATGGTCTCCAGTATGAGTAAGTAAGCTTGGAAGAATAAATCTCTGGTCCCAGTGACCGACCCCAATTCAATTTCACATCATTATCCTGGGACCCTTATATTTGCCTTCCTTCGTGAATTTCCTATCACCAATATTTGCCTTTTTTTTTCCCCTAGGGAAGTTTGGGAAGCTATTCTTTCTGTCACAGTAATGTGGGTTTTGTCTCCTTTCTAGAAACTATTGATGAATGCTCTTTTGTGGGTGCCTGCATATTTTCTTCCAGGGGGAAGCTATGAAAACAATTGTTCAGTTCCAGGGGGGCTTCACTGGATACTAGAATAAATAATAGAGATTTTGCTCTTGGTTGCTGTTTTCTGTTAAAAGTGATGTCTTTCCATTAGTCTTCCTCTTTAGGTTTATATACAGGATCATTTTGGGGGGAAGCTGTTTGTTCCTTTTTGCGATTAATTTGGGTGTATCAGTTTTCTTCTTTTTGTTCATACATGGAGTCCCTATTGTGTTTAAGTTTGGTGTAGTCTTCTTTTTTAAATTGTGGATTCTCACTTTGTTCATTGAGTTTCAAAGTGACTAGAGTTGCTCCTAGACCCTTTATTTTTTCTTCTAGTAATTCATACAATTTACATTTGATCAGGGATGGGATTAAGCTGGTTCGGGCCGGTTCAGGAGAATCGGATGTTAATTTTACACCCAGTTCAGTGAGCTGGTAGTTTCAAAGACCAGCTGGCCCAGCCC